CCCCGGCCGCCCCGCCAGCCTCAACTCCTCTCTGCCTGGGGGGGGAGGCTGTGATTTTTAAGGCGCACAGTCAGGGTGTCCCACTGGGTGACAATAAGGGACAGGGCTGAGGTGATGTCCCCCTGCGTGATGTCCCCGCAGGCGGCCGGTGGGTGATGGGACGCAGCTCCCAGGCCTTGCCGTACAGTATGGAGGGTTCCCAGCAGCCCTCAGGCATCACTTACTGCCCACTGGGAACGGCTGGGTTAAAGTGTGAATAATTAATAACAAAACCGCAGGGAGCTCCTGAGGGCTCTGGTCCTGTCTCCTGTTCGAGGTGGGACCACCCCCAACGCTAAACTGGGCTGGGCTCTGTTTAGCCAAGCCTTGAAAACCTGCAGGTGTGGAGAGTCCCTGACACTCCTTTCTTGGTGAAAAAACCCCTTTCCCAACCCCCCATCCCAGGCCTTAATCAGCCCCTCGTCACATCAAATGGCCACAGATGACCATCCTGGAAACCCCAGCCCAGGAACCCATCTCCACGAGGGCTGCGGGGACCACCAGCACCCTGGCTGAAGGTACATCAACCCACATTGGGTGCTCCATTCCCCCTCCCCGGGCTCTTCCAGCTCACAAGATGACAGCAGACGTTAACGCAGGACGCGGCATTTCTGCCTGATCAGCCGTAAGCACACTTAGAGCTAAATGAGGCTCCAAAATTTCAGTGCAGCCCGGGGCTAAAGCCCAATTAAAATCAAGGCAGCCCGTAAAACAGCTAGCTGAACAGAACGGCGGCGGGGTGGTACGGAGCGGCAGTAGGGGTGAAAAAAATATTAGGGAAGTTTCTTTAATGGGTGTTGTATCATAAAAGCAATTGTTTAAATGGCTTTTCTAGTGCTCTCAGCAGTAAATACTTCAGTAAAAAAAAAACGCGCTGAGGAAAATCTCATCTTCCTCTTTCATTTACTGCCTTGTAAATGGAAAAATCATGGTGGGAATAAAAGCCCGCGGTGCCTGGGAGCCGCTGTGCTGTTTGCAGCCCCCTTTCCCCGCTCAGCCCCTTCGGCCGCTGCCTGCAGCCGGGCGGTGGCAGCTCGGAGCCGCATCTCCCGGAGTAGCTGCATCTCCCCGCAGCCCTGAGCAGACGGAGGGGGTTTGGTTTGGGATCCCACACTGCGGATCCAGGTGGGAACGGCCAAGGTGGCAACCGGGTCTCCTCGACCAGGGTGGCAACCAGGTCTCCTTCCAAAGCTCGCAGCCGTGCTCCCCTCCAGGGCACCGTGGCCATTGGTGCTTTTCGGCTGCCAGGGCAAAGCTCTCTTTCTTCTGGCACCAACGTGGTCTTTGCCCATACAGACGAGGCAGGTGTCCGTGTTTCTTACGGAGCGCAGCAGCGTCAGGTTCCAGGTAAGAAGCTGCAGTACCAGGCAGCATT